TGCTTACAGAGGAAACATTTAATCTCTTGCTTTTGCCGAATGCATCGGGTCTCTGTGTCGCCTGTCTCTGCTCTTCCTCACACGGACGTGCATAACTATTGACATGGGATTGAAACACAATCTATAGAATACTCGGCGGCACGGTGGCTGAGTGGATAGCACTCTCGCCTCTCAGCAAGAAGGTCCTGGGTTCGAATCCCGGTTGGACCAGGGCCTTTCTGAGTGGAGTTTGCATGTTCTCCCCGTGTATATGTACAATAGGTCTGGTATGTGCCTCCTGTACTGGCCCCACTCCCAAAAATCACAATTGTAAACCGCTTTGAGACTCTGATGTGCAGTGAAAAGGCGGTATATAAATAAAGATTACTTACTTACTTACTACTACTCGGCTGTGATAGGTCGATAAGCCTCTGCCTACATCCCCCAGAATGCTGCGCGCTTCTAACTCGGCTTCACTTCCGGTGTCTTCTTCCTGTTTATTCTTAACGGAGTGAAGTTAAACTATCAAAAATTTTATCGACCCCGTTTTCTATTGATATCGAACACGTGTCTATCGCAATAATAATAACCTCAAAAATGCATCCATGGAAGTGATTTCTCTATCACTAGTTTTTCCATACATATTTTTAGGCCTTTGTCACATCTTTGGATCAGCTTTTTCAGACAGAAAAGTGAAAATCGGAGGACCAACCTCACTCAGCCAATCAGCACTCATTCCAAAGTGTCAAATAGTGACTCACCTGGTGCTAGAATAAGATGGATGTTGTGGTCTGATTAATCTTATTTTTTGCTCATATGGTAAAGCAACAAAATACCACAACAATCCAGCAAGTACAACAGTAATACATACCATGAAAAAAGAACAGGAGCAGGATGAAGAAACAACAAAACCTTAGAAACTCCCACCCCCATTCTTATATAAAGAAATATACAAATTAAACTACACTCTTGCACAACTCTTTCTGTTGGTACGAACAACACATACGTTACCCCAGCTTAAAGTTAATCTGACTATAAGCATCCTAACTCACTCACACATCCAGCATGTTCCTTCTATAAAAACTAAATATAACCAATGACAACGTGAGATTCCTAGAAAAGCAGATTGCTTCATAGACGACCACTTCAAGGCGATTTACAGATAATAAGTTTACATGAAATTGATATCTGGTTCCAAGACCTTCACGCCTCCATCACAGAAGAGAGGCCACCACAGAAGAGCTTCAAGAGATAAGATCCGATAGTCCTTCATTTGTCATCGTTGTACACATTACAGCAGATTAAAAGGAGGACACATCAAACAGGATCTATCTTTTAAGAAAATAAAATAACAAGTAACAAGAATAAGATTAGAATATGATAAAATAAAACTCTGGAGCTATAATTTCACTTGGTTTGACACAGTATACTGTAGTCAGCAGGAGGTATTTACAGATGTGTATACCGTAGTGTACTTTAGCAGAAGAGATTACGAGAATATAAATAAACAATGGTAATGATAGCAGCAGGTAAAGTGATTAGTGAATTATCAGAACAGAAATATCATATAAATGGATATGTAATAATGTAGAAATAATTATTAATATTATTATTTGTGACGAAACATTGAGAACCATGAGCTGACTCCACATATAGTTTTACAGTATGAATGTGGAGCATGTGAAGGATTGGTCCCACAACCAGTCTCGCTTCTGTCCTAACGACATCTAATACATGTATTTATGGACATGTATTAACGTTTATAGACATTGATCATCTGCCTTTTATGGACCTATGTGTTTTTTATCATTGCATTTCCTGTATTTGAACTGTCAACTTGGTGAAGTCCTTAGAGATGTCTGCTGTTGTGATTTAGGGCAATACGACAATAAATTGAATTGAATTGTCTACCCCTCGGCAGCTGTGGATAAAAACCATGAGAAAGAAACACACTGTTTGTCTGAAACTGCACCGCAAACCGCTATTTTCAAAGCTCAATGTTTTCAAGGAAGTCCACCAGAAAAGACACGACTAAAGGACTATATTTTGTTATGTGGTTCTGTTATTCAAAATTCAGACATCACACTATTTTCATATTGTGAAGAAAGAGTGAAGCTTTTGGAAGACAGACACTGGTTAGACCCGCCCATGCTCACCCCCGCAGCCTCCCGATTGGCCCCTGGAGGAGAATCTGACCTTAACTCAGATTCTCCTCCAGTTGTGTTGATGCAAAATTCTGCCATCACTTTTAACTAACTCACGGATTGACCTGATTCATTTAATAATACCCCAATTTTGGGTTAGGGTTAGATGTGTAAGTATTGCACATCAGAAATGTTGTGGATGGTGCAAATGCGAAAGGAACCTTTTTAAAAAACAAGAAACCATTGCACACTGTCAACTTAGATGTCCAACATTGGATTTATTGATTGGAATTTAGGCAATCAAAGCCTTCATCCGATCATGTTTTCATGAGAAATAATCAGACTCCACACAAGTATTTAGTCCAAAAACTCAAAAAGTATACCATAAATTCATCCACACAAGCATAAATTATTCTTTTTTTTTTACAAAGCACTAAAAGTAACATTAAAGGAAGGTGGCTATGCATTATTTCACCTTTTGAATTCAGACAAAATGGTGATAAAAAGAGCTTATTGACTCTGTGAATATGAACTGCATGCGCTTGTCCAGCAGTATTGATCGTTTGGCCACTACACAGAAACGACGAGGATTTGAAAGAACCACGGCATTCTCTCGTAAACGTCTTCCAATTATGGCACAAACTGTTTTGGCAAAGATAAAAAAGCCCTCCTTTTTAATTTCAATCCCAAGATATTGTATAAAACCTGACTAGTGTTCATCCACCACAATGCATCACAACTCGCTCACGGTTACAATCTTAAAGAGGACAAAACCTGATGAGTCTGTTCTCTATAATGTAGTCATCTATCTTCATTAAATATATAGTTCATGTGAAATGTTTAGATTGAGGTGAAACATGCTTTTGTGTTGTGTTGTAGGTCATGTGACCATCTCGGATCTGCAGCGGAACACAATGGCGCCAGTTCCTATGAACTTTAAAAATTCACAGTGGCCAGGTTTTAAACATATAACCCCTGCAGCATTGACAAACATGTGGAACTTAACGTTGGGCCAAGAGTTGTGTTGTGAACCAAGGTATAAAGCCACTTTTGATTCATGGAAAATCACAAAAGGGTTTTCATAGTGTGTTTCCTCTTCTGCTGTCAGGTACAGTCAGTAAAGGTGTGAAGCCAAGTTAAAATGCAATTCATATATATTTTCTTTGAGGAAAAAATTGCAAATGGACAAACAGTACAAATCGACAAAGTGAAACCCAAGAGGAGCGGTGTGGTGGTCAGAGGACTGAAGGATATAAATAACACTTTTGGGGGATGTCCCCTTATATTTGAGAAGGAAAACTTCTTCTGTTTGGTTAAGGAATTGGTAATATAATGGCAATTTTAAGTTTTATCTAATTATTGTAGAAATTAGTTTAATCATATTTCAAAATACGTCACAGCCTGACAGTAGAGTTGGTTCCCTGGCCTACTGGTGTAAAAAAAGAAAAATCAATAGACCAACAGGTGTTTCGTAAGCTACTATGATGCTGACTTGTTTTGGGATCTTAGCATTTCAGAACAAAGGTAAAAGCTCCTTTTATTGCGTTGCCCTCTTGTAGCTTCCTGCATGCATTCACCATACGATGTTTACTGTAGTTCACAGAGCCTATTTTTACCCCTCACCCACAGGGCATATTCAAATACAGAGCTGAAACTGGGTGGCTTCCTTCCTCTAACACGGTGTGCTCACACCATGCTCCGGCCTAAAAGCTGCGTGATGAGATTTTGATCAATCTCCACATGTTTATATTTAGGCGAGACTGTTATTATAGACCTTTGCAACAAACAGGATACTATTTCTTCGGGTGGGATGAAACAAATCCATCGATAGTGAAAAGAAAAAGAGCCTATACAGATGATGGTTTGAGTTCGACATGTGTAATCTATGACTAACTAAACAAATATATAGTGACTAACTTCACCTGCAGTGTAAGGTTTTTCTCAAATACTCTTTACTTAAAGCTGCATTTCCTCACTTTATTTTTGTATTCATTACAAAAATTCAATCCATATCAATGCAATGCATTGGGATATACTGTACGCCCTTTTGAAGAAATCAAAAGATAGAGTTTTCGTGCAACAAAGAAGAGAATTTGTAAACAGCACATGTGCGGCTGAGGGGGAGGGGGGTAGTGGGGGGTGAAAGCTCCGCGAGTGCGGGGAGGGGGAGTAGAGAGAGCGAAGCCAGCGCTCACATTCGAAAATTTCACAAAGTGATTTAGTGCAGCTTTAATTATTGTATTACATAAAAGTTTGATAAATGTTGACAAAATACTTATTAGTTACTTGCATACCAAAACGATTGGCATTATTCTAATTATTATTCTAGTTAGAAGCTTTAACACGAAGCATTTTGAATGTGCCAAAAGTGACAAACCACACAGATGTGTCATCAAAACTTAATCTTTAATAAAGTATATGCTAAAAGTAACAGGCACATTATTGGTGCTTAAAACCTTTCTTTAAACCAGACAGTGATGCGGATCGTCTACAAACTGCTTTAGACGCCGGAATAATGCGGCTGTGGCTGGGGTGGTCTTGCACAGTTTTTCCAATGCGGTTTTACTGCAAATGGCAAATAAATTATGGAATTGAATCTTGAAGTTTGCTCCCTGTCCCATTTCCGAGCAAAAAAATCCGGCTGCAACATTTTGCTGGTTCTAACTGACAGACCTGGCGGAGATAATATAACATGAAGGAATATAAACGATCAAATGAGAGAATATTAGGACCGTAATAGTAAGTGTACTTAACATAGTTTTATGAAGTATAAATGGTAATCTGTACCTAATTACCTTTTGAAAATAACTTATCACCTAAAGAACAGATGGAGCTTAGAACCAGTTCATGTGGCCCTGGCGGAGGTAGGACACTTACCGTCTGGGTTGGCACAGATAAAAACTCGGACGCTGCGTCCAGTGGGCACATGGTGAGGCGGCAGCGCGAGGATGTTGCCACTGATGGCCGCTCTGCGCATCGCAGACTCCCGCGGACACTGCTGTCTGCTCCCCACTCCCGACGGCCACATGGTGGAGGGCGACTTCCAGCGTGGCTACACACACGCACACACACACGCACACATTAACATAACCACAGTGGGGCAGATAATAGCGTAAGGCGCATGGAGAGATTTACGCACGACTTTCATTGGATCCATACGTGCACGTGAGATGTTAAGCGGTTGAATTTTAATGTTTTCTTGTGACTTTGATGGAAATGAAATAACCCATCTCACATCACTAAATCAGACTTCACTAATTAGACCTCTGAAATAAAGACGATTTCTTCAGATGCGATTTCCCAATCAATGAATAGCTACAACACCCACGTCCACGCAAAAAATCCAACTATTCTATTGATGAATGAATATGAACATTTCAGTCATAAGACACGTGGATCTTTGTGCATTCCAAACTATAGCCTACGGTCACAATACGGTATTACGCACAGCTTACAACCGTCATAGTGCATGCGTAATTCGTGAGCATGTCCTTGGATGCATTCATGAGATTTCATGCCAGTGTGAAACAAACAGACAAACAAACAGAACAAGACACAACTGGGAATAGACGGTAAAGGCAAGCATCCGCCGTGTTCCCACCCCGGAGAAGATGCTTGTACACGCGAATAACCGCTAAGAGAGGTTATTCCGCCAGGTGAAGCTGCCAAGCCGCTGGTTTTCCGGAGTTGGTCTGCCCTGAAAGCTTTCTTTCAAAGACGGAAAACCTCCAAGCTAAACAAAAATATGAAAAAGTTGAGCAGTCCACTTTTCAATACATGAAATCCTCCAAAAACAGACACTTAAGAAGCATTGCATCCACAAAGACGACTTGGCTCCAAGTGATGCTGGAGACAGGCACAACAACAGGACAATTCTTGTTGCTCACATTCATTCGCTTCATGTCGTGGCTTCTCTAAATATCCGGGCGTCGTGGACGAGAAAGAGAGAGTAAAAACGCCCATCAGAGTCGCTGTGGCAGAGAGACGACTCCGGGAGACAGAAAAACGGGCGCCGTGGGTCGGAGTGCTCCTTTTGGCATCCTGCAGTCTCCACGAGCGGAGCGAGCTCTGAGCGGCGAGGAGCGTGAAGCCCGATGTAACACCACGACCACCACCGAGTCGACTGGAGATTTCAAAATAAAACACGCAATCTGCAAACTGTTAACGAAGGAAGAGCGCGACACTGGACCTTTGGGCAGTTCGTCAAAGAAGGCGAGGCACAGAGACGCCTCACCATTTCCAACAATCAAGCACACAGTCAACGTAACTCTCCACACACTGACTTTAACCTTGAAAGGCGCAGTTCTCATGTCTCTGTGCGTCTCCTCTGACTTGATGGAGGTCACTGTGACTGAACCACAAAGAAGCTCCGCGGACCTTCTATCCCTCCGTTTGAGCGCATCATGGCTCATCATGGTCTGTCTTACTTCACGCCAAATCACGTCCATTTTCTTCCTGTTGTTGAATCGCATTGATTTGTTTATTTGATAGGGACAATACACTTTGATTAACTTCAGTGTAAAACTGTAAATATACAGGGTTATAGCAACTCATTAACATATTTATACTCAGTCATCCAGAGTCGTGGAGAACATGCAAACTCCGCTCAGAAACACCCTGCAGTTAAAAAAAAAACTGTTTTTATTCCAGCCATGGTTTGATTTGGGTTTAAAGGGCTCTCCATACACAAAAAAGCAGGTTCAATATGCGTGTTTTCTTACCTTACCTGCGCGCGTCCTTTGTAACGGATTAGGTAACAGCCCGGAGCAATGGCTGAGAGTGGAGGAGCAGAGGAGGAGAAAGGAGGAGGGCCTTTGAATTAATTGCTTTATCGATACACGGGGCTCGGCGTTGCGGCCCCTGTTATTCGTGCTGGAAGTTTAAGTGCATTGGATTTGTACTAAACGGAATTGATTGGTGTGCTGTTCTTGTGAGGGGGGAAACGCTGAACCATATATTCTTTTCCTCCTGCTCAGTGCAGTGGCGGCCGGCCAATAGAGGGCGCTAGGGCGCCGCCCCACCACTCACAACTTGCCATGTTACCTTGAATAAAACGTTAAAAAAAATAATAACATTAAAATATTTCGAAATTTATGTGCGTTTTATTTCAGATGTGGAAGAAATACTTTATAGTTTATGCTGAGTTGGATTGATTAAGCTCATCAGCGTTGTCTGTGTCGGACTGAGGACGTATTTCCGCCTCAGGGCGCAAAAGATTGCGCCCTGAGCCGTCTATGGACTCTCGTTAAAAGTTGTACATGCGCAGTAGCTCCTCTTCAATGCAAGAGATAAGACGATTTGGGGGCGCAGGAGAAGTGCGCCCTGAGGGGGCGGGGTCGCCCGCGACCTGTACTGTCACTGTCTGTGACGTCCGTTTACAGTGATTGACAGGTCAAGCTGTGGGAGTTTGAGACGAACGTAAAGAGACGCAAAATGGAGAACGAGAAAAAGAATAATTCAGTTAGATCACTCAAAACAATACCGTTTGAGAGAAGATCATACCAGGAGAAGGTTGAGGTTAAAGAGCTTGGACCTGATCAGCCAAATATTACCATTAGTCAGCAGTCCAGGACCTGGTTCAGCGCCAAATCTTGGCTAGCAGCATGTAGCGAGGCTAATGCTTTATTTTGCTTTCCATGCCTCTTGTTTCAAACATCAGGATCTGACCCAGCATGGATCAAGACAGGTATGACTGATCTGAAGCACTTTTTAGAAAAGGCAAAGAAGCATGAGCAGACTGGTATCCACATGCAAAATGCCCTCAAATTAGCTATGTTTGGGAAGATAAATATTTCATCCCAGCTGGATGAAAGCTACAGGGTAGGGATCAGAAAGCATCATGTGACCTTGTTGATTCTCGTGTGAGGCTTCAGTCACAACAGTCAGTGTAAACTTACTTACTGCTGGTATATATCTAGTCATCATATTCATAGCCCCCCCAGTAGAAAATTCCACCAGCCGCCACTGGCTCAGTGTTTAAGTAGCAGCAGGAGCAAGCATTTTCTCTGAATGTGATGAGGAGCGTCTGAGGAACTGCAGTGACGTGAACTTCCACTGTCTCGACACCATGAAGGTCACGTGACGACGGGTTCACCACGGAATTCTCAATGACGTTTATTTATTTACTTTTCAATAATGATGACTAAGTAACGTCTATGCATCCTTTCAAATAATAATAATGATAACACAAAACCTACTGTATGGCCGCTGGCTGTATAGGGCTATGGTTGCTATGGCTCTGCAACAAACAATTGATAGGTTAATTTAGCAAAAAAACAGATTAATCCGTTTTGAGAAATTGTAAAACATTGTATTCCTCATGTTTTGTTATTGACAGTACATTTGAAAGAATTTGCTCAATAAGATGTAAAACTGTACTTATATGGCACTAAATAGAAACAGTATCATGATATTTTCTGTACTTGCTCCTGTTACACGAAGAATTTACAGCGAAAGAAGCATCAGAGCTATTGTTTTGTTTATTTTGTGCTCCTTGTGTGCCCTTATCTTATCTTATCTTGATGGCATTTATCTGTTTTTGTAAATGCTCTATTCAATTAGACTAATAGGCACTTCTATGTACTGCACTATGTATCTATCCTTGAACCAAGTGCAATTATAGCTCCAAAGTTTAATACTATTTTATTATCTTGTTATTTTACTATATTATCCTAAATATATCCTGTTTGATGTGTGCCACCTGAGTGCTCTTATTTCCTCTTTTTATTCTGCCGTGACGAGTAAGTACATTAAGTCCACATTTAGGCTAAACTTGAACATAAGCAGCAGGTTTTCATGTTGTAATGTAAGACTTAGCTAACAGCCGATGGACGACTGTTAAAACTGGTCACGGCATGATTTAATGATGACGTGTTCTGTCACAATATGTTATGATCCAAAGCGTTGTAAATGAAAAAAATAACATCTGAGGATACAAACACACGCATGCTTACCTTAACTGTCAGCTTCCACGACTCATTCGCCAATCCATTTGATGAAAAACATTCGTCCTGTAGCTACTAAAACTCTAAATAATAAGTCCATTAAATCTGCTCTGAAAACCCTACAGTAAAAATACAGACATAGGCTGCAGGATTCAAAGAAAACATTTTAAAAGTAGCAGCTTATAGTCCCGCACTTACGATTTTACCCCTTTGCAACAACAACGGAAAATTAAACTATTAATAAAGTACATGGATTCCCTGTCTGTGTAGCTACTTGTCTTGAAGGAAGATTGAGAGCTGTGGTGCGCCATTTAAAGCTGTCTACAGGGAGCACGCATCCAATCTAAACTCCGGAAGACTCAACACGCTGTGGGATATGAGCAGGTCCCCGTCCGCTTCACTAATCTCCCGCCGATTAATCACAAGAGTGTGGTGTAAAAGATGCCATTACTGTATGTTTTTTTATGTAATGTTACAGATGGGTGGGATTTGCAACTTTTCCGGTGCATGATTCACCCCCGAAAACGATGTTGCAGTTTTCAGTTTTCAGTCTGCACAAATGGAGGGGAGATACTTGGTCATTTTGCTGGTCGTTCCACTCTCTGGCAGTATTATAGGTATAGATTCTTGGTGCTGTTTATTTGGATGAAAAAAAGCTTAACTGCTATTGATAGAAGGCCACGTGGTGTAGTAGGTTGCATTTGTGCCTCACAGCAAGAAGGTCCGGGGTTCGAATCCACCTCCAGAGCGGGGCTTTTCTTTGTGGAGTTGGCAGTTTGCACAGTCTCTTCGTGTCTGCGTACCTCTACCACTAGAAACATGTAGAAAAGGTCTGAATGTATTGAGTGAGTGAACGGATGGAGACTGTCAGAGATTAGATTCCGGATGTCAGTGTGTTCGCCGTCTCGCTTCTGTCATCACTATGAGTGTAGGAAATATTGGCACTCCAAAACGTTGTAAAGTACTTGTATTGTACTTGTATGTATTTACTATTATTGCATTTCCTGTGTTCGTACGGTTTTATTCTCTGGTCTGTTGTGGGCCAAGTCCTTCGAGACTACTGCTGTTGTGATTGAGGCCTATTGAATTGAAAATACATGCTTACTTACTATTGAGAGAAAAGAAAACACTTTAGTTGTGCTTTTAAATATTCCAACGATCAAAAACACGACCACAATTTCACAGGCAACCAAAATAGGTACAGTGAATTCTCAGAAAGAACTTTACTCAAACAGACAACACACGTTTTTGCTCGGAGCTCTATACATAATGGTGCATGGGGTTGAGTCTGATGATCCACAACGGTGATGAGTCTACTATAGCCATGTACTCGCTACCCCTCCAAGGTGTAATGCATTATGGGTAACATGCAAAAAGCAGATGGAGTCTATTTTTGCCAGACTCCATGGAGGTCTGGTGCGTTGTTTCCGTCTCGACCCCCGTGAGGCACTGGGGAACTCGGCACAGCAGGAGACCAAAGTCAGGGTAACATACAGATCAAGAACATCTATAAGCGGAGAATCACAGCCACAACTTGACCTCGTTTTTAGAAGAATTCAATTATGATCAATCCAACTTTTATTTATTCATTTTTCAATAACAAATAACAGACATGCACGTTTTAAATCTTGAACGACAACATGTTGCATAGTAGAGTAGCATGTAAGATAAGATAAACTTTATTGATCTCGCAATGGAGAAGTTTACATGTCACATTTGGCATAGATAGAATCACTCAGATTGTGCAAAAAGACAGAAATGTGCAACATGTTAAGGTTAAAAATAGTCTCTGCAGGATATGATTGTATACAATATCCTCAGTCCTAGTGCATCATGTCAACTTCCCCCTTACCCCCCACCCATGAATATACCCTTGAAGAAAATACATAAATAATAATAATAGTGATGATAAATGAATGAATGAATAAATACATGAAAGAAACAGTAGAATTCAATTATAATCAAAGGCTGTTAACACATTTCTATCGTAGCACTGTCTCGGCCCTGTGCGAATCCCTCCTCCATCTGATGCCCTTGGAAGCAGCTCACACCTACTCTCATCTGTCCCCAAATGATGCTCATCTCTTTCCATGAGCGTCCAAACTTACGAGCTCCTCTGTGTGACTCACCCTCTTTCCAAATGAACATTTGATGTGTCAGTAATAGGCACACAGAAACAAGACTCTTCTGGTTGATTTTGCATTCACTAATTGCACACAAACAACTTCACAAATAACCGGTGATGGATTGGAGTGTCAGCAAAACATCTGGAAGATAAAGGAACACGTGGGAGTAGAAAAGACGTTTGGGAACATCTATTTTTGCCTTTGGTGCCACTACATTAACCCATTAGCTGCACTCGGAATTGAATTCTTTGTAGGAGGGCAAGGTTAGTACACGATCCCTGTTCATGGAGGGAATTCTCCGAAAACTGGATCGCGGACGGACAAAGACGCAGAGACGGTTGACAT